CCCCAAAACCCCAAAACCCCAAAACCCCAAAACCCCAAAACCCCACAAAACATTACATTTCTATAAGTTATTTGTGAAGATGAACAATCCAAATGGAAACGGTCCTGGTTTTAAAGATCCAAATGATACAAAGAACATTATATTCCAGCATTTTATGGAGTTTGAGGGCAATATGAAGAAGGGAAAGGATGGGACAGACGAGAACCCTCCACAATTTTCCATGCCTGAGGGGATTTTCCCAAAAATTGATTTCCCACAAGGCTTTGTTCCAGATATGAACGGTAATCCTCTAGTGACGCTGCTTTATTACAAGTTATTCTTCATTTTTATGGAATATTTACTGCTTTCGTTGGAGATTTAATAATTTAGAAGTTAATTATCATATAGGTCCTCTTTTGCTGGGAGGATTCCCACAACCAACACAAGAGTTTGATACAGCTTTCCAGACTCCAAACTTTAGCATGGAAGGAAAACTTACAGGAGAGGTTGAAAGCCCTCATTATTGTCATACTGAAGGCCCAGAGCCAGCATTAACAGAGCAGCAGATAAAGTTTAATGAATATATTTTGCATGTTCGTCCACAAAAGTTATTGCTTTACCAAAACCACCTGTTTAATGTGATGCAGCCAAAGAAGACTCAGATTGACATAAACATGGATAATCTTCCAGAAGGGATTCACTATACACATATTTTAGAGTTCTTCAAGTTCAATGGGATCCATCTTGAGCCGAAGCAGGTGTATATCAAAGTTAGAGGACTTTCAAAGGACAAGTGCACGATTAATTGCTATAATAACTATGAACTCGCTTGGAAGATGGTGAGCCTGTTCGGAACTAAGTTCACTGGGAGATGCCTCAAACTTGAACTTCCAGACTATGAAAGAGGCCATAAACCTCGTAGTAATACTTTTGATGAGTTTTGTAAGGAATTTGATAGCAAAGCAGCAAGAAAGCTATCCGCAGCTAAAGCTGCAGAGAAAATTCCCAGAAAAATCTCTGCAAATGTAGGTTTATAGGTTATTCTTTAGAAAAGTAGTAAAGAGAAGGAGGAAGTTAAAGAGAAGATAGAGACTGAGGCTCAAGCCTGGGGTACTGAACTTAGTCTTGGTGATGTCATTGGCTGTCAAGCAGAAGATGATGGGTTCCAAGAAGTCAAGCCAAAAGGAAAGCCGAAGCGTAAAGTCAGAAGAGATAGCCAGCCTGAGAAAGACCAAGATGAAACTACAAGAGGGAGAGGCAAAGGTCGCGGACGAGGACGTGGTCGTGGTTTTGGAAGAGGCAGAGGAGAAAGAGGAAGAGGTAGAGGTGAAAGAGGCAGAGGAGATAGAGGCAGAGGTGAGAGAGGAAGAGGAGAAAGAGGAAGAGGAAGATATAGAGGTGGATATAAGGAGTACAAGCATAGCAATACCGGTTTTAACCCAAGAAGTGAAGAATTTTAAGCAGATATTGAAATAATCATTTCAAAAAATATAGCAATAAACATTAAAACCTAGGGGTTTTGGGGTTTTGGGGTTTTGGGGTTTTGGGG